ATGTGGGCTAACCATAATATTATATCACATTGTCATTAGGTCCTTATTGAACATATCATATTGGGCCCACTTTGATAGTAAGGGATCTTTATTGCTCTCATTAATAGAGATTAAAATGACATCATACAATATAATCTCCAAGTTTAAGTGTATGTGAGTTAAATGTACTATGATTGTGATTGCGATAAGTGAATTTTATTGTATCATAGTGCACCGTATTGTAAAAATGATTATATTATAATTGTAATTATGATAAGTGAACTGTGTTATACTATATTGTATCGTACCATAAAATGATCGTATTATAATTGTGATTGTGATAAGTAAATCGTATTGTATCGTACTATATTGTATCGTAAATATGATCATGTTTTAATTATATGTATAATAACTAAATCGTATTGAATCGTACCATATTACACCATAAGTAATATGAAGTATTTGAATAAAAAAATTATTTTATGTTTGTATAAATGATTGTATTAGTCATTATAGATTGTGAGGAGGATACCCAGTGAGATTGAAAACATTTAAATAGTATTGTTAACAAGAATCATTTAGAACAAAAGACTAGACATGTTACAAGAAAAAATAATAGATAAACAAATTGAATGAGTATAAATAGTCGTATCCTAAGAATTTTCTAATAATATAAAAGTTGGATGGTATTGGGAAGAGATGTAAAGGAGTTTCCATGCATCTCTTTCAACTTTCTAGATTTGAGTTTATAATTATTTTTACTGAGCACTTGTAACTCACTCCAATTTATTATTGTAGAACCTCAGAACCAGGAGCTGAACCAAGAGCAATCAGAATGGTAAAGAGTAGGAAATGAAGTACAGGGGCTATGATGACTTCTATTTATATTGATTCAGTATTTCCAAACTCTAAATTTCTATTTGATATTTCCATACTAGTGAACTCTTGTTACATTGTTAATGTTTTTTAAAGTTTTATTTAGCACGCAAGGGATGATACTACTAAGGGAAATGATGTTTTCTCTATCCGTATGATTAAGATTTTACATGAGTGAAAATGAAAGGACGCTTGGGACTTTATTGTGAGTTCAAGTTGTTACAATTTAGATCCTTGAATCTCTATATTACTAATTTTTGGGTTTAAATTTTGTTTTAGATTTTTCTCGGATTTATTTATCAATAAATTTGGTATAGTTAAATTTGATTGCTTAAAATTAAATTTTTTTCACATAATAGTTCACAAATTAATTTAAAAAATTGACATTGAAGCCGAAAAATTTTATATTTACTAATTTTGTAAATACTCGGAACTTAAAAGAAAATAAAGTCATAAATTAAATGTGGACGTGAAATAATAGAGTTTAGGGTTTACATTCCTTACACAATAATTTAGAATGCCCAATAGGGTTATAGGAATGTCCCTTCTAAAAGAACAAACAAAAATCAAAGAAATATACAAAAGGCAATATACTGAGCATTCTAGGATGACCTTCACTGACTTTTAAAGGAAGTTCGGGTGGTGAACTATTCACAACCCTTTTATTGATCGAGATCTAGGTCTTTGTTCTCTTGACCTAAAATAGTTAATAAAAGGGTGAGCTACACTAGTCCAGTAAGAATGTCACACTACTCACTGATACAGAAAATGAAGGTTGGTAAAAATTATAAAAATAACCAATGGAGCTCTTGATTTAAGTAAATTTATTTATCATAAGAAAAACTATTTATTGCATATATTTACCGTTGTGAGATTTCCAAAATTGACATATAAAGACAATAACTAAAATAACATTCTAATCTCATATTCAAGTGAGTAAGAATAGCAACTTTTCTTTTTTATTTGCCTACTAGTATCCTTGGGAGTCCAAAGGGATATCCCACTATGTATGAACCAATATCCAATATTATTAACTAACTGACCATTCCCATACCCCTTCCGGTATGAGTGTAAAAAATACCATCCCTCAATACCCCATCTGGTATGAGGGTGAATCGGGCCGTCCCCATACCCCGTCCGGTATGAACGCCAAAAATACCATTCCTCGATACCCCGTCCGGTATGAAGCAATATTCACGGTAGGGTTCTCTATGTACCTAATCCGTTCACCATCTCTTACGATATCCAGTAAGATAACCATTCATTAATTCACATAACCGAGCAACTTTCCGTTTGCATATTAATTTTTAATTTCATAAATTGACTGAAAATTAAGTAAGACAAGCATTAAATATACATCAGGGAAGCACAACAGAATCATTTAACAATTCGAGTATATTCTCATGTATTTAAAGCTGTAAAAGTAAACAATCAGTTACACAAAAAAAACAAATAAATAACTAACTGGTTCTGGCTCCATTACTAACCTGTAATTATTCTCAAAATTTTTTAAATTATACAAATACCATATTATTGATTATTAAGCTTCAATTACATAACAGAGAATAAGGTGAGAGATTCTTACCCGAATCGGTATCCGAAACACTGAACTCTCTACTGCAACTACTGGAGGTCCTGAATTTTCTAAATTTTCCTACATAGATTAAAACACGCTTCATGTACCTAAAAATACCACAAAAATTTAAAATCGGTTAAAATCCTTTTCAGGCAAATTTTGGGTTCCGGTACGCGGCATTGCCATGCTCCGGCGATGGCACCACTGCCCGCAGTGGCAGTTTGCCTCAGTCATGTCGTTTTTTGCCAGTTTTAACTTATTTCGGCTGGTTTTATACCCATCCCTGCAAGAAAATATGTTAGGGAGTTTCAATTAGCTGAAAAAATAAAAAAAAACGAAAACCTACCGGTGGTGAAATTTTTCGGTACAGCGGCTCCGCTGGCTCATCTTCGTGGCTGAGCATTTTTCTTCGGTCAACCTATAGAAAACAAAACGGTGAATACAACGGTAGAAAAATTGCATGAAATAGGAAACGGGAAGGGGCTCATCGGAAGAGGTTGTGGGTTTTGCCCGCAACGGCTCCGCCTGACTTTGCTCGTAATTTTCGATTCATCCGCCATTTTTTTTGCTCTGATTTCGTCACGGGGATGCTCGAAATTAAATTTCAAGTAGATAAGAGATTTTTACCTTTTTTGGTGGTCGGGGGTGGCTCTAGTGCGGCAGTGGTCAACGGTCGGCGGTCGACTCCCGTCCCCGGTGACTGGTTCTTCTTCTCCAGCGGAAGGCTGGAGGCTAGGATTTGAATTCAGTGTGATGCAAAATATTTATACTCGTCTCGCGTTAATCTAGTCCATTCATCGTGTTTGATCTCGACCATCCAATCGCGTTTAAAGAGAAAACAAATCTGGACCGTCCATCGTGTTTGATTGCGACCGTTTGATCACACCTGAGGACGGAACAGATTCGGATTGTCCACGTGCGCGGGAACATTTCTGGGTTGTTCAATCATGGGGCACGCGAATCGCCAGCGTGGCCTCCCGCGTGGCATCGAGTCAGCATGCCTTGCCACGCGGCATGTTTCGGTTCATCGAGACTGCTGATTGGACGGTCCTACGTGGCAAAATTTTTTTAATTGCGTTCTAGACCCCAGTTTCTGATTTTTCTTTCAAAAACACTATCCGAACCCAAATTTTCACCCTTTTTTTAAAAAATTATTTTCAATTTCATCATCAACCTATTTTTTTTTTTATAATTTCACATTAAATTAAAATTTATTAATTTTAAAAATAGATTCTTATACATATTTAGAATGTTAAAATTAATTCCGGACTAAATTCTGAACCCGGGTATTACAAATTTTAATATTTTAAAATTTTCTAATATTTTTTATTTTCCTAAATCTTTGTCTAATTTTTATTATTAAACTTAATCGACCTAAATTTGTGAGGTGTTACTATAATATATACGTTTAATTTGTTTAGAATATGTTGTATATTGATTGTCGTAGTTAGATAAAATTTTAGTGCCAAATGTTTATATATATATATATATATGCACCGAAGTAGTATCGATTGTCTAACAAAAAATTCAACTAAAATTATCTCCTTAAAAATTATATTATTGGTTGTCTAATTTTAATTTTTTTGTATCTCAATTTTGTTAATTTTTTATAAAGTTTTTGTCTGTCGTGATTCTATTATCTATTTAAGTAAAAATTTTGTTAAAACTAAAGTTGCAAAATTTAGTTGCACTAATTGTCTAATAAACTTAAACTTTTGCCTTATAAAAATATATATGTATTTAAAAAATTTACTAACTGCATAATCCAAAACTATATCTTGAGAGGACAAATTAAAGTACATATAAAAGTTTATTCAATTAAAACCAACACTATTACAGATAATATAGCAAGAACTATAAAAGTTTGACACGGCAAACTTTGATATATAAATTATAATCTTATAATTTATTATAGTCAACACACTGTAAGTATACAAGTTATATATATATATATATGTATATAAGTGATAGTATGGAAGCCATGACCTCATCAATATTTAACAGGATAGCATGAGTTTGAATAAAGTCCACATACTCCATAGGGGTTTCTAGTGCCTCTTCTGATTCTTATAAATCCTTTCTCACCCCATCCTGTACCCCATGAGTTCTTTATGAGTATGTAATTTGGTCCATACCCAACTGCTGTTACTGCATGATCTACTCTGTTTCCGCATGGCCCCTCAAATATTCCCTATCACATTAAAAAAATTGAATTGTTTAATCCCTATCAACTATTTATATAATTTCTATTCGCTAATTAATTATTTAATTTTTTTAATTACCCCTCTATACAATTGGAAAGCTCTTCCAGCTGATTCAAGGACGACGCTCACAGGTTGGTATGCAATTGCTTGTATGAGAGCCCCTTCGTTATATTGTGGCACTTGTCTAACCCCATCGATTTTTGCTGCAATCGGACCTTTCTGTAATAAAAAAATCAATAAAAAAAAAAGAATTAAACAAAGAAATGGAATTCTTCTGAATGATTTTTTTATTAACAAAATTTTAGACTAAATAAAATACTGTGTGTTAATTATAAAGTAAATATCATATGCTTGTTAAATTGAGGTGTTTGTAAAATTATATAATCTTAGAAGATCTAATATTGACGGTATTCAATGTTCATAGAGAAATGAGTGCACATCCATGATATTAATATTATATATATAATGTAGATATACCTGACTTGAGCGACAATAACGTTGCACTCCCTCGTATGGGTAAACATTTCTATAGTGAATACCATATCGAGTTACTAATTGAAGTGCACTCGAAGGGAAACCTCCTCTACATCCGTAGCTACCTCTATCGCAGTCAAGCAGTTCTTGCTCTGAGTATTCATTCAAATACCCTGTTCTAATTTTAATTATTCCCTCTATAGTTGCAACAGCTGAAAATGTCCAGCAACTACCTGTATTATTTTAAATAAAAATTTACGTATTTTATTATGATAAAATAATCAGTCAAATAAAATATTTAATTAATATATATATACACACACACATAGAAGATATGTCAATTAATACATAAATATAAAATATTTAATTAAAATAACAAAGTCATACCACAAGATCCCTGTTGTTTTACAGGAGTGACAGCTCCTTTTTGTCTCCAATCAACATATTCGGGAATATTTACAGCACCTTCATTAAGCACTTCATCATAAGACAGTTCAGCTGCTGTATAATTTGGAGCAATAGAACCAATATACTTTTCTTTAAATTCATTGTTGCTTAAATCAGCAAATACGTTTAATCCAAGCCAGTAACTGTTATTTTTTTTGTTTGTCTCATCAATATATTTAAGATTGTCTTTAAAAATTTCAAATCTGTAAATTTTCTCATCAATATTCTTGTAAATTTTATTGTATTTCAACATCCATGATTCAAAAAGTTGAATAAATCTCTCAGTAGATATTAAGTTATCTTGAGAATAATTCACAATAGAAAAATCACCAGATGACAAGTTCATATGAACAAAAAGACATATTGCAACGAAAAGCAACTTTGAAATTAAACATATCATAGCCATTATGACACTAGTTATATTTTTTAGTTCTCAAGGGTGAGAATGGATGAAGAGAAATGGGAGAATCGTATTGGTTTATATACTAGCTAGCTTGTGTTTTCAATCAACTTTTTTCATTTTTTATTTTCTTCTCATTCACGCATCTTGCACCGGTAGTTAGTTTTCTTACAAACTTGCTAATTAAACAGTCTTAGTTTTGGTAAATTATTTAACTATGCAATTAGTAAAATTTTAACAACAAATTAATTTCATTAATAAAATTACAAGGCATAAATTTTTTAATAATATATCAATTTTAATCTCAGTAGATAGTATTTTTAATTAGTTATATTATTAAATCTCAAGAGAAATTAATTTTAGTAAAAAAACAATTATCAAACTGAATTTGTTCCATGTGTATGCATAAGATATAACTATAGAATAGTTTTATGCAATTATTTAGTATGAATAAAAATTGCATAGAAATCAAAT